ATTACTTCACTCTTTTCTTTCTTCCTTCTAGATTCTTATAGAAAGGATAATATATGATCCTTAATCTAGAGTTTTCTCAGGCTCTAACTTGAGATGTAATTAACCACAAGGGCTTGCGCCCGTGGAAAACTGAATTCCATATCTACTATATCCCATTCGAGCTAAGGTATCGGGTTGGGGAAACCCATTATTTTGATTAGGTCATGTATATTACTACCCATTGGGGTGCACTGGCGAGAGTCACTATCATCAATGGTTAGTCGTATGCACCATTTAATCAGCCCTCCTATTGGCCCATTTGCGAGGAGCGTGGAGGCCTGTGATCATCTCTATACCTTAGGGTAGGTGCGGTCATATACCCCTCCGCAATCCTACAATCGTAGCGGTGTTCCTTTCAGAGGTCCACAAATATATTTTTTACATTCAACCAACATCTTTTCTTGAGGAAGGGTATCATTTATAATCAATAACAAAAACTAGTTGATTCATACCAACTAGGTCAAGTCCCATGATTTTTTCCCTTTTAATAATTTTTCATATAAAAATATTGATGTCACTTATAACTCTTATACCTTTCTCTTATTTGTTTGTGTGCTACATCTTTTGTACAAAATTATGATGATAACCCCTATATCTCCTTATAGCTTTGACTGACATTAAGAGATAGAAAGAGAAACTCTACTAGGGTTTTTTTGACAAGAAAACATGTCGCCTTCTTCGCCTCCCTAGGCAGGACTCTGCTGTGAGGATATCCTCCTCCTCCTTCCCTCCACTTCCTTCTACCTCCCCCACTCATGCACCCCTGACCCAAGACCTTCTTCATTGGAAGCTCCTTCTGGCCTCGGAGACTCCCGTCTCGCATGACTTCTCTAACTCCCTTTCTCACCACCCCACTGAAAACTTTACAGCTCACTTTACTAAGTCACAGCTTAAAGCTGGAGCACCGGAATGGTCCCTCTCTCTCGTCAGGTATTCCATCGAGTGAAGACCCTTCAATGAAGTTCTTCTTTCAACAATTAAAAAAATATGGAACCTCAAAAGAGATCTCTCCCTCCTCACCCTTGATAATGGACTCTTCCTGCTTAAATTCTCAATTCCGAAAGACTACGAAATGGCTTGGTAAGGCTGCCCCTGGTTTTTCTTCGAAAAACCTTTTATCCTACAAGAGTGGACACTGAATTTTATCCTGAAGTAGGAAGAGTTTTCATCAATTCTCCTATGGATTAAAATAAAAAAAGTTACCTCTCTCTTGCTGGATGCCGGAAGGGATCTCTAAAGTTGCCAGCTGGTTGGTGTGCCCTTGGCTGTCAATGCTCTAACCGTAACAAAAACCATGCTTATGTTCACCCACGTGTGTGTTTATGTGAACTGTTCCTCTTCACTGCCTGATGAAATTTATATTTTGGTGGAGGGGAAGATTATTCCCCATCACTATTCTTTATGATTAGAGCCCATCCCCTATTCCTTGGCTATATCTATCACACCTCACAAAAATGCCACAAAAACTCTTCCCCCACTATAGTAAATTCTGGCTCCTCTTGATTATTCGAGGATAAAAAAAATATATAAATTATTTCACTAAAAAATTATTTTAAAAAATAAGAAGAAATTACGAAGGAAGCCTAAAGCATGCTCAAATAAATGTGTAGGTCTGAGAAAATTTTGTGCCCACACAATTACGGCAAAAAGCCACCCGCTCTTCTGCTTTAGGGTGCATTTGGGACGACTGCAGCTGTCGGTAAAGCAGGTTGTGAAGTTATGATACATAAAGTTACTTTTTGAACTTGCTGTATAGAAAATAGTATATTTTGTTTGGATGATATAACTGTGGAGCTGCTGTGCTGCAGCTGTGTGGAAACAATTTACCTAGATACCCTTACATATATTAAAATGAAAGAAATTTGTTTAAAAGATAATTTTTAAATATATATATATACGATTACATATCAAAGAACTCATAATTTTTATTTTAAATAAAATTAAACTAAAAATTAATACATAATAAATTTATTTTAAATAAAATTTAAAAGTGTTGATTGATTAAATTTATTTTTAATTCATTAAGTTTTAATTAAATATATTTTTATAATTTTTCCACTCGTTATTTTTATACTTGAGAGCGCCTTATCTTTATGGCATCCTATCTCTAAGCTCTTCCTTGGAGCTAGCTTCCTATATCTCAACTTAGGAGGAAGCCCCAGCAACCATACTTTAGAATGGCTCATGGAGTGGTGCTTGGTTCTTTGTTAGTTCCCATGCATTGTATAAAAGACAAGTTATCTGTCAAGCAGCAAAAACGTAACCCTCTTCTCCGCCTCTTCGTTGGCCAACCTCCGCCACTCGGCGAGAAAATTGGCCCCCATTACTCTGTTCATCAGGTATGTGACAAAGGAGTAGTTCGCTGATTACAGGAGAGGCCGGAGGGGAGGAGTTCGATGCCGAGGTGGCGGAGATCAGTGCGGCGATGGTGAGCAAGGTGAATGAGTTGGAGGAGATCTGCGCTTCTAATAGCAAAAGGGTATCTTGTTGATGTCGGAAGCGGTGCGACGGGAAGGTCGCGAATATTTGCAAGCGGGGGGATTTACGTCATTTTTCCTCAGAATGCAGCTGACCGCAGTGGACCGCAAGAGAAGGGGAAAGGTCGCAGGAAGCAACTCTATGTCGCAAATTTTTTCTGAAGCTGTTCTGCCGCAAACCCCCAAACAAAATTTTAATAACTTTTTATAAAGCAAAGCAACTGTTACGCTGTCCCAAAAGCATCCTTAATACATCAAATCCATCGGCATCTACACTGCCTCTCTCTCTCTCTCTCTCTCTCTCTCTCTCTCTTTCCTATGGCGGAGCCGGAGAAACAGGTGGTTTTGATTACCGGCTGCTCTGAGGGAGGTATTGGATACGCCTTTGCTCGGGAGTTTGCCTCGAATGGCTGCCTAGTGACGGTCACTGCTCGGTCGTTATCCTCTATGAGAAGTTCGGAAGGTGACCAAAGGTTCTTCCTCCTTGAGCTCGACGTACTCTTTGACGAATGCATCCAGAAGGCAGTGGAAGGCACATTGGCGGGGTTTGGTTGGAATCATATCTTAATCAATAACACCGGCATCCACAACGTCGCCCCTCTCGCGGTGGTCCCTATGTCTACCGTCGAGCATGTGATGAGCACTAATGTATACGGTAAGTTTCAGTGTTAACTAACAATGGAAAGTTTTTTTTCTCCTTTTTTTTGTTTGTTAATTTTGTCAAGTAGGGTTTTATTGGAGTTAACTGATTTGAAATTGGTCCCCTCCCCCACCCAAAAATCTGAAATTGGTATCTTGAGATGTTGTAGAGAGTTTCCCGTACAATTTAGTCTTTTCTTTGTTCTGAGTTTGTGGAAATGGGTTTTTCTCTTCGTTTGGAATACAAATCTTTCTTTGTTTTTAGTTATCTGTGGGATTGTCCACATCCCGTGATCTTGATATTTTCTATATTGATGAAGTATTATTTTATTTTTCCTAGCTATTTCTGTGTGTGTTAAACTTAAAGGGCTACTTTTTAGCGGGATTAAGTTGGATTTAAGCCAGATTTGTTATAAATCCTATCAAACAGTTTGAGAGCATGCAATAAATCTGAAACGACTAGATTTACAGAGATATGGCCTAAATCCGGGGTCCTTGGGAGGATTTATCGGGATTTGCGAAGTTCTCCTCCGGCGAGTGAGCGAGCGAGCGATCTTTTGTCTTGAAGGAGGAGGCAGAGATGGTTATCTTCACAGTGAGCAAGCTCCTGACGTGACCTCCAATCAAATGTCGTCAAAGGATGAGGCGAAGAAGCTTCTTTAGTGACTCTTTCAACACATTGCTGCACAAAGCACGTGAGGTCGAAGCAGCAAGGAAGAAATGGATATGAAAAGAAAACCCTATGGCCTAGGAGAAATTATTTGATGTGGAGTCTGGACGTAGTTTTGCATTCGGACTTCAATTAAATCATGACACGTAGTTTGGAGATGTAGATATTCAAATTGGATTTTGTTTTTAATTTTTATCTTATCGGTCCTATCTACCACGCCCAGAGTTAGGAGATGATTAATTAGGAAATCCTTTCCTAATTGTAATTCAAATATAAGAGGGAAATACATTAGGAAAGAGGGCTAAATTAGCAGGTGAGAGGAAAGTTATTTTAGTTTAAGTTAAGGGTTTAATTTTTTTTTTTTTTATGGCAAATTTTGTGATGCGTACATCAGCACGAAGATTTCGCGCATCTATCACAGGAGGCATCGTAAATCGACAGCTCTAATTTAAATTGTCATTTATGAGTTATTTTATAAATTGTAGCTCTTATTTTATTCTATTTCCTGTTTTACCCCTAGGATAGCTTATGTGAGTGTTATGGCCCAAGCGGTAATTTTGTAATTTTTGATTTTCTCATGTTGTATTCTATATATAGGCTAGTTTCTTGTAATTTGAGGAGAATGGTTGATTGATATGAAAAATTGTTTTCCACACTTATGTTCTTCTTGGGAGAGAACAAGAGTGAGATTCCTATGGGAAGGAATCGCAATTATCACCAGCCACAGGATGGGTCTGGGCTCGTGATTTGAAGTCCCTTGGAGAAGGGAAAAGCATCACCCGTCAGACATCGGAAGAGTCCGAGGCTCGCGATTTTTAAGTTCTCTCATTATTTCTTATCTTCTATTTTTGTTTTTGTTCCTTTTTATTGTTCCTTGTTTTCATCTTCGTCATCTACCTACGTCCACCATCATCTTCTCCATCTCCAAGCCGTCGTCTCCTTTTTCCACCATGCCGCCGGCTCCACCTCATTAGTCGCCGGCCAAACTCCTCCCACCCTCTTTGGGATTTCCTAATTTGGTTAGGTTAATTTAGGGAATGATTTGATTTTGAAATTATTCAAATTCAAATTTCAAATTCTTTCCTAAATTAGTTATTCTATTTTAGGAAAGTTCTTAATTTACATCCATTTGAATTTGAAATTCAAATTGGAGTGAATTATTTTCTTTCCTAACCTTTTAAACAAAATTAAGAAGTATTAATTAGCCTCATTAAATCCTATTTCAAATTATTTCCTAAATCAAGTCTAGATTTAGGAAATAATTCAAAATTTCCTTCATAACCAAAATTTCCCTTGCCTTGCTCTACTAATTGATTCCCTAATCTAAGGAAGTTAATAGTAGGAATTAAATCCCTACCCATTAATTCCTCCCTAGCCTATGCCTGCCACCCCCCTCATTAATACCACATAGATTTGTTTCCTAAAGCCATATCCTCTCTTGGAAACAATTCAAATTCTTTCCCTTGGCCAGAATCTCCAAGATTCACCACAAATTCTGCCCACAATCTCATCTTCCCTCACGTTGGAAGTATTTCCAAAATCTGGCCCATATCTAGCCGCCTCCTCCCTAGCAGCTTTGCTGGGTTTACTTCTCTAAATTCCCTCTAAATTTTTTCCTGATGACGTCTTTCCTGCACGCAAAGTCTGCTGCCAGAACTTTATGCACTTGCTCTCGATGTTCCCTCAACCTGAAGGCTCACAAAACTGTTGTCAAGGATTTTTTTCTGCAACCGTGGTTATCCAAATTTGCTATCTAGAGTTTTTAGCTTTCCTTGGATCAATGATTCAGTGACTTGTATGCCTTCAACTTTCATTGGATCCTTCCTTTAGCTTGGCATTTACGCTCAGTCTTTTTTCTGTTTCTCTTTACCCCATCCCCCCTCCTCTCCTAATTGTTCCAGCAAATTTCTCTTGTGAAGACACGTGGATTGGAATTTTCTTATCAGCCTTTCTCTTCACCATCCAGGATGGACTTCTCCCTCAATTTTCTCTACATCTCTCAAGAGAAAATCTGAGAATTCATCTCAGGTTTTTGGTGAAATCTGAACTTGCTGTCAAATATTTGGAGAGGAGATTTGTCCCTAGCAAAGCCATTTTTTGTTCTACATCAGTTTGGTATCAGAGCATGGACTCGGATCAACTTGGACGGACTTTAGATTTGTTGGTAGGTTAACTGGGTGCCGTTAATCAACAACTCAGGGAGGATCAAGCGGACTTAACCGACCTCCATCGTCAAACAATCGAACGATTCGATCACCTAGAGCGAGGTAGGACTAACCCACCATTTTATGCAAAAACCCCTTCATGAAAGGATCGAAAGAAGACACTATGAGACAGAGAGATAGTGGATAGAGTGGAAAAAGAATGGAGGCCAATGAAACCTTCAATTTCCCACTCACTGTGCAAATCAAAGAGAAATCTAAGGTGATCAAGGAAGAATCTGAAGAAGAAGATGAATTGGTTGATTCCATTACAACTCCTATAGAAGCAATGGTTTCTTCTGACCCCGTTAAAACTCCTACAACGAAGAATGTTTATGAAGCTCTGGAAGTGACTTCCATAGAACTCACGATTGCTCATATTGCGAGTGAAGCCATCTATGAGAGTGAACAAGTTCCTGCAGATGAAAAGAAGTGCAACAAGCAAGTTGACCTTGTGGGCAACCGGGGTGGTTTGAAAATCTTTACAAATAATAGTCCAGAGTTTTACATGACAAGTTGTAATGCTAACTCGAAGAAGTCGAGTATTCTCTCACCTGGGGAGAATGATGCGGACATCGGCACGAAGATTTGGCGCATCTATCACAGGAGGCGTCGTAAATCAACATCTCTAATTTAAATTGTCATTTATGAGTTATTTTATAAATTGTAGCTCTTATTTTATACTATTTCCTGTTTTACCCCTAGGATAGTTTATGTTAGTGTTATGGCCCAAGGGGCAATTTTATAATTTTTGTTTTTCTCATGTTGTATTCTATATATAAGCTAGTTTCTTGTAATTTGAGGAGAATGGTTGATTGATATGAAAAATTGTTTTTCACACTTGTGTTCTTCTTGGGAGAGAACTAGAGTGAGATTCCTATGGGAAGGAATCGCAGTTATCACCAGCCGCAGGATGGGTCCGGGCTCGTGATTTGAAGTCCCTTGGAGAAGTGCAAAGCATCACCCATCAGTCGTCGAAAGAGTCCGAGGCTCGTGGTTTTTATGTTCTCTCTTTCATTTTTATCTTCTATCTTTGTTTTTGTTTCTTTTTATTGTTCCTAGTTTTCATCTTCATCCTCTACCTACGTCCACCTTCATCTTCTCCATCTCCAAGCCATCGTCTCCTTTTTCCACCATGCCGCCGGCTCCACCTCATTAGTCGCCGGCCGAACTCCTCCCATCCTCTTTGGGATTTCCTAATTTGGTTGAGTTAATTTAGGGAATGATTTGAATTTGAAATTATTCAAATTCAAATTTCAAATTCTTTCCTAAATTAGTGATTCTATTTTAGGAAAGTTCTTAATTTACATCCATTTGAATTTGAAATTCAAATTGGAATGAATTATTTTCTTTCCTAACCTTTTAATCCAAATTAACTAGTCTTAATTAGCCTCATTAAATCCTATTTCAAATTATTTCCTAAATCAAATCTAGATTTAGGAAATAATTCAAAATCTCCTTCATAACCGAAATTTCTCTTGCCTTGCTCTACTAATTGATTCCCTAATCTAAGGAAGTTAATAGCAGGAATTAAATCCCTACCCATTAATTCCTCTCTAACCTATGTCTACCACCGGCCCCCCTCATTAATACCACATAGATTTGTTTCATAAAGCCACATCCTCTCTTGGAAACAATTCAAATTCTTTCCCTTGGCCAGAATCTCCAAGATTCACCACAATTTCTGCCCACAATCTCAGCTTCCCTCACGTTGGAATTATTTCCAAAATCTGGCCCATATCTAGCCGCCTCAACCCTAGCAGCTTTGCTGGGTTTACTTCTCCAAATTCCCTCTAAATTTCTTCCAGATGATGTCTTTCCTGCACTCAAAGTCTGCTGCTAGAATTTTCTGCACCTGCTCTTAATGTTCCCTCAACCTGAAGGTTCACAAAACTGCTGTCAAGGATTTTTTTTCTGCAACCGTGGTTATCCAAATTTGCTGTCTAGAGTTTTTAGCTTTCCTTGGATCAATGATTCAGTGACTTGAATGCCTTCAACTTTCCTTGAATCCCGCCTTTAGCTTGGCATTTACGCTCAGTCTTTTTTCTATTTCTCTTCACCCCATCCCCCCTCTTCTCCTAAATGTTCCAGGAAATTTCCCTAGTGAAGACCCGTGGATTGGAATTTTCTTATCAGCCTTTCTCTTCACCATCCAGGATGGACTTCTCCCTCAATTTTCTCTACATCTCTCAAGGGAGAATATGAGAATTCATCTCAGATTTTTGGTGAAATCTGAACTTGCTGTCAAAAATTTTGAGAGGAGATTTTTCCCTAGCAAAGCCATTTTTCTTTCTACATTTTTTGTGAGGGGTATTGTCTACTGTTTTGATGAGGGATCCTAATGACATCTTGAGTTTGGGAGAAAAGGTCCTCTAGAAAGAGGAACATTGTATCTGGCTTTGTTCGTATTTGGTTTTCTATTAATAAAAATATCCATTTTATTGAATTTCTTTGAGTTTGTTGTTATTTTTGATATTAAGGTGTATCACTCAAATACACTCTAATACCCAAAATACTCAACATTTAATTGTTGAGGTTAACTTTAATCATTAATTTTTACATTGAGACAAAATTGAGATATTTTATAATAGTCAGGAGACTAAATTCGGGCATTTTTAAATTATCGGACTAAATTGTGCATTTGGTAATAGTCGGGGGACTATTTTGATCTTTTACTCATTTTGAGGCATTTCACTAAAAAAGCAAGCAAGATAGTTGTTTTTTAGATGGACAATGGGGTTTCAGTCTGGATAATTGTTTTTGTTTATCATGGAAAATTTGTTTAATGCAAC